TGTTGATGATGTCATTGGTACTTTGAGTGGCTTCTTTACAATCATTGTGGCAATATTCTTGTTGCATTCCTTTAAAGACGTCAGCTTTAGTCTAGCAAGTCTCCTCCTGTGTCTTTTCGAAAAGATGAAAAAGCAATGAATGGCAATCTCTCTACCATGTATGAAGTTCTTAATAATAATGAAGAAAACTTAACCTGTGGAATTGAACAACACAGTGGTGAAAATATCTCCCGAAGAAATGGAAATCTCACAGCTTTTTAAGAAAAATGTAATTAAAAGGTTAATCTATTAAAAAAAAGAATTAACTTGTCAATTTTTTTGTTTTTCAAAAGTTTATTTTTTTACTAATCTCTATACCCAGTGTGGGGCTCGAACTCAGCACCCCAAGATCAAGAGTCGCACACTCTTTTGAGCCAGGCAGTTTCTAATTTTTAAACAGCCTTTGATCAGGGATGCCTTGAATCTATAATATAATCAATTTGGGAGAAAACTGATAAGTTAATATTTTGTCTTCCAATCCAAGAACATGGTATGTCTATCAATTTATGTTGTCTTAATTTCTCTTGGCACTGTATTGTAGTTTTATGTAGTCTTCTTTAATTTCTCTTGGGGCACTATATTGTAGATTTTTATTACTTTTTTTGTTGTTGTTCTTAAACTTATTCCTAAGTCTGTTTTTTGATACTAAGGCAATAATTGTTTTAAAAATTTCATTATTTTCAACTGTTTGCTGTTAATATATAGACTTTTCATAAGTTCATCTTGTATCTTAATAACTTACTAAAACTCATTAGTTACTGTACTTTTATGTACACAAGTCACCTAAGAATAGGGGCAAGTTTTGCTTTACCTTTTACAGTTTTTATATCTTTTATTTATTTTTCTTGCCTTGTTACACTGGTTAGGACCTGCAACAAAATGATAAATTGAGGTTGTGTGAGTGGGCATCATTGGCTTATTTTTTTTTTAAGATTTATTTAGTTATTTTATTTTTTTTTAAAGATTTTATTTATTTATTTGACAGAGAGAGACACAGCGAGAGAGGGAACACAAGCAGGGGGAGCAGGAGAGAGAGAAGCAGGCTTCCCACGGAGCAGGGAGCCCAACATGGGGCTCAATCCCAGGACCCTAGGATCACGACCTGAGCCAAAGGCAGATGCTTAACGACTAAGCCACCCAGGCGCCCCTAGATTTATTTAGTTTTTAGAGAAAGAGAAAAAGAGAGCAAGCGGGGGAAGTGGCAGAGGGAGAAAATCTCAAGGCAATGCCACACGAGTTCAGAGCCCAACACAGGGACCTCACGACCCCGAGATCATGACCTGAGCTGAAATCAAGTGTTGGACGCTTAACCAATTAAGCCACCAGATGCCCCTGGCTTGTTCTGATCTTAGGGGGAAAGCATTCAGTTTTTACTATTAAGTATCTTGTCAGCTATAGGCTTTTCATACATGCCATTTATTGGACTAGGGAAGTTCCCTTCTATTTGTAATTTGCTGACACTTTTTCTCATGAATCTTGCTGAATTCTGTTTAATGCTTTTTCTATACCATCAATATCAATATCCTTACATACACTATAACCAAAAAATGCTATGTCCAAAAGAAGGTATCTGATGGCTGTTCCCCAACCCGACATGATATTATGCATCAAAATGGGAATGTTATATTTGGGATTTGGACATTACTTTGTTCCATTAGAAAACTGTATCTGACATTTAAAAAAATTACTCTTCTACATGGTAAAAAAGCAAAGATATTAAAGTATTCTTCCTGATCCAGATTTTGCTTCACCAGTGAAAAGAAAAAAAAAAGAAAAACATATATCATAAAATGTTTTTTTTTTTAAAGATTGTATTTATTTTTTTAAGTAATCTCTATAACCAACGTGGGGCTCAGGCCTACAACCCCGTGATCAAGAGTTGCACGTTCCACCCACTGAACCAGCTAGGCGTCCTTTTAAAAATTTTTAAATCTTTCTTTGGTTCTTGTACTCAGTTTCATTCCTAACAAATTTTATGCTAAGCCATAATATCTTTTAATGTCTTGTGCTTTATGGCATATATTAAAATGGCTACTGCAAAGAAACATTTTAAATGAAGTTTGGCTTTGTTATAAAACTAACATTTTTAAATAAAATTTGAAAACAGGAAAACAGGAAAAAGAAAACCACTCAAATGGATTTCTTTCCAGGCTCATTTTCTATAGTTTTTCCTTTCTTCATATATTAATATAATTGAAATCACACCATATAGATAATTTTATGCCGTTTGTTTTAACATTTATCCCGGTGATTTTCTTTATAAGCATACTAAATGTTAAAGCTAATTTAAAATGTGTCTAGTTGCGGGGCACCTGGGTGGCTCAGTCGTTAAGCCTGCTTCTCCCTCTCCCACTCCCCCTGCTTGTGTTCCCTCTCTTGCTGTCTCTCTCTGTCAAATAAATAAATAAAATCTTAAAAAAATAAAATAAAAATTAAAAAATAAATTTAAAAAATGTGTCTAGTTGCCATATTGCTAGTTATACTGCATGCCATCTCATACAAAAAAAGCTTTTGTTTTATTTTTTAAAGATTTTATTTATTTATTTGACAGAGAGCGTGCACACAGGGAAAGAGCACAAGCAGGGAGAGCTGAAGGCAGAGGGAGAAGCAGGCTCCCCACTGAGCAGGGAGCCCGATGGGGGACTTGATCCCAGGACCCCAGGATCATGACCTGAGCCGAAGGCTGACACTTAACTAAATGAGCCCCCCCAGGAGCCCCCCAAAAGATTTTGATATAGGTTACATGTAATGATTCTACATTCACAAAACTACTCAGCAGCTGTGTAATTTTAGCTAAGATACTTAATTTCTAGGGGCACCTGGGTGGCTCAAGTCGGTTAAGCATCTGCCTTCAGTTCAGGTCATGATCCCAGGGTCGTGGGATCAAGTCCCGAGTTGGGCTCCCTACTCAGTGCTCCCTGCTTCTCCCTCTCCTCCCAGCTCATGCTCTCTCTCTGTCTCTCTCAAATAAATAAATTCTTAAAAAAAAAAAAATTCTCTAAGCCTCAGTTTCTAATCTGTAAAATGAGATTAATGAAGAATATACATTATAGGGTTATTGTCAAAATTTAATAAGACAATATACACAAAGTATTTAGTACAGTGAATAGCACACAGTGAATACTCAACAAATGTTAGTGGTTACTATTCCATTAACACAAACCTAGGTGATTGCCCCCAGGGGCAATGCTAAAAAGTGGTGAAAAATTAAAAGAAAATCAACAAATCTCAGTGTTCAGTCTTCGTTACTCATGGTGGATTATCTAGATCAGAGATCATGTGTCACCCGCTGATGTGTTTTATTTGGCCAGCACAATGTTTAAAAAATTTTTAAGGTGTGCTGAAATACAAAACTGCCAATATTTTATAGCTTTTAAATCAACAAACATGGGAATCTCGTATGATTCAACTTAATAAACGCCAACATTTTGAAACAGAGTTTACACATACACAGTTTTCTGACTTCTTTAGAAAATTAGGATGATGTGGCAACAAGTCCAAATGTCTACATGGTAGTTATTAGCTGGAGCTAGTAGTACCAGCTGCTGTCCCCTTTAGATGGCACCTATTCCCTTCTGTTTGCTACAGCCCACACCATCCTATTGTGCCTTATGACCCGACAAGTCCACACCATCCTATTTTGCCTTAAAACCTGACAACTTCACACATTCATATTACCCCGGCTGGTGGCCATCAGAATTGGAAACCTCTTTTTTTTTTCCACGACACACTGGGGAGGCTTGATGCTTATTTAGCATTCAAGTGGTCTGTTTAATTGTGGGAATTTTTTTTTACCCTGTCCAAATTATAAATTTTGCTTGTTTTCTATGTAATGTATTGATAAACAGGTTGAGAGGAGAAATATAAACACAGGCATCTTTTAGATGTTAATTAAGGTATAATAACTCACAGTCTATAGCTGTGACATACATAATAGTAGGGATCAAATTAAAAAATATTTAAAATTCACTCCTCTAAGGTAAATTATGACTACTCCATATGGCTCTGGAGTCAAGGGCTCCAATATATTTGTAGCCATGAAGCCCCAGGTAAATCATTAAAACTCTGAGCTTCAGCTTTTCCCTATGTACAATAAAGATAATACTGCATACCTAAGAAGGCTGAGCGGGGAGTAAATTAAGGAAACCCAGTGAAATGGAAACGTCTCTTAATGTCCCTGTCCCACTCAGTCATTCCCTCTGGTGTCTATTAGGGGAGAAAGTGCTTTATGAAGTAGTCATTCCTTAATAGTTATGTTTAAGCACTATGTAGACAAAAAATTCTCAAGGCGGGGAGGAGACTGTGTAGACTGAGAGCATCACACTTGACCAGGGAAGTCTATCCAAACCGTTATCATGGGTGTTTATACTGAATTCCGAACTTTATAGAGAAACACTGAAATCTCATTCACTGAAGCCATCCTTTGCATTGTGTAACAAATAAAATGTCACCGGCATCCTCTGTAAGTAGACCAGACTGAGGGAACCGAAATTATAAGGCCCAAGGTACGCATTATTTTATACCTTCTCACCATCCCCAATTCTTCATCTAGGACGGAGGACGCGCAGCTTTATCGGGGCCCGGCGACAAAGGGGCCAAGCGAAAACACTCTCGGCCAGGGGCAGGGAGGGCCCTTGGCTACCGGGAAAGCGGCAGCCTGCGCGCCGCCGGTGCTCGAGCAGCGGATGGGTGACCGATCCCTTGGGCGCCGGGCCCTGCCGCGGGTGTGCGCTGCGCCCGGACGGAACGCGGGCCGGGAGGGCGGAGGAGCCAGTCCCGTCCCTGCCCCGAGTAGCCCGAGTGCTCGCACCGCCCCCGGGAAGGGCGCCTCCGCTGAAGGCCCGGGCCGGGCCGGCGGGGAGGCGCCGGGCACAGCCGCCGGGCCGCAACCGGGCTCTGCGATGCTGCCGTTACCCCGCCCTTCCCCCGCGCGCCAACCTGCGGCGGCCGCCGCCGCTCACCTGGTGGCGTCCGCGACGTTCCGGACGAACAGGGAGGTGTTGGGGGGCCTCGTGTAGCGCGACATGACCGCTTCCTCAGTTGCCTCCGGGCCTGCCCGCGGCCGTCGGGCTCGCTCCGTTTCCCGCTGCCGCCACAGCAGCTCAGCCAGCCCCTGGCGCGACCCCCTCCCCTCGGCCTCGGCCCCGCGAGCGCGCAGCCGCAGAGGCGGGCGCGGGGGCGGGGGGGGGGGGACGCTGCGCGGCGCGAGCCTGTCCGTGCGGACCGTGTGGGGGCGGGGCCCTAGCCGAGGGGGATACAGGGAGAGGGCGGCGCGGGGTCCGGAAGATGCAGGGGATCCGAGGAGGGGGCGGTGCCGGGTCCGCGGGGATCCGGGAAGGGGGTTGTGCGGGAGTCCCAGGGTCCGAAGAGATCCGGCGAGAGGACCGAGCTGCGTCTCGCAGATCGAGGGGATCTGAGAAGAAGGGGGCGGCGCAAGAGAGGATCCGGGACGGGGCGGTGCGGAGGGTCCCCGGGTTCCGAGGAGATCTGGGGACGGGGCGGTGCCGGGGTCCTCGGGGATCCGGGGAAGGGGCGGGCCTGGAGGCTGGAGTCCGAGGGATCGAGGGACGGGGCGGCTGGGGTCCGAGTGTGTCTGGACGGTGGAGGCCAGACGGGTCCTAGGAGCTGAAGCTGAGTTGGGGGTTAAAGGATCCGGAGGGGGGATGACGGGCGTCGTCGGAGTGAGTGGGGATGAAGACTGAGTTTAACTGCTGAACAGCTGGATGGCCACCGGGACCTTCGTCCCTGCATCCTCAGTCCAAGTCCTTAGCAATTGTTCCCACTCCTGTCCCTTTAGGCCTGATCCTAATAAGATTTCAAACTGTGAGGATTCGGGTTTTGTTTGTCTGTGTTTTGATTCTTCATCCATTATTCCCTTAGGGCATACTATTCAAAAGCTTTGGGTACATTCATTTAGATGTTTATTGAGTGTCTACTATGCACCAGGAACTGTGCTAGGTGTGGGATATGGCAGTGAACACTACAGGCCAAGTCCCAACTCTCAGAGCTTACACTGTAGAGAGAGGGTCCAACAATAAACGAATGAACAAATAAATACATGATATAGAAGAAAGCACTGAAAATGCAGTGGCAAGTAAGCAAATTTAAAGTATCCTCTTTTCCTTGCTCCAAAATGTAACCCAGCCCTTTCTAGTTATCCTCCTCCTTCAGGTTTGCTCTTGTGGTTGGCACAGCCTATTACCCAGAACCGTAACCAGGTGACTTGTAATTTTTAATAGGACCCCTTTTTATTCCCAGAAGTGGTCGATTTTGGTGGATAAATAATAGGGTCATCCTACACAGCTCACAGCTTCCCAAGGTCTAGAAACACTTCTGGAACAGTGGCCATTCATTCAAAAGGGAATTGCTTTGGCACAGCAGTCACAGGGCTAGACAGGGAATATAAAGGTAGGGAGTGAGCAGGGTTCCTAGTCTCATGGAGCTTACAGTTTGGCAGGGAGGCAGAATCTAATAACACTAATAAACACATAAACTATGGTAAGAGCTGTATGCTGCTGAAAGGGGACCTTATAGTGGTTGGCAAACAGGGCTAGAGGGTCACTGAACTTTTCCCTGAAGTCTTGGGGAGGTATTTGAAGAATGAAAAAGAGCAATCCATGTACTGGAATAGCATGTGCAAAGACTTTGAGGCAATATAGGACTGAAAGGAGGCAATCAGGAGTAAAAAGCTGAAGAACAGGAAAGTGAGGCTGGAGAGCAGGCTGGGTTTATAGTAGGGAAATTTGGAATGCTGAGTGTACTGGTTTGCTAGGGCTGTCATAACAAATTACTTCTAATTCAGTGATTTAAAACAAGAAAAATTATGGGGTGCCTGGCTGGCTGGGTCAGTGGAGCATGAGACTCTTGATCTCAGGGTTGTCAGTTCGAGCCCCATGTTGGGTGTAGAGATTACTTAAAATCTTTTTTTAAAAAAGAGAGAGAAATTTATTCTCTCACAGTTCTGGAGGTCAGAAGTCTGAAATCATGGTGTTGGTAGGACCATACTTTCTCTGAAGGTTCTAGGGGAGAATCCTTCCTTGCTTCTTTCAGTCCCTGCTGCCTCTAGACATTCCTTGGCTTGAGGCTACATATCTCTAGTCTCTGCCTCCATCTTCACGGGACCTTCTCTTCTGTCTCATAAGAATACTTGTCATTGGATTTAGAGCCCACCCAGATAATCCAGGCTGGATCTCATGTCAAGATCCTTAATTGTAGCTGCAAAGACCTTTTTTTCCAAATAAGGTCATATTTAGGGGTTAGGGCTTAGACGTACCTTTTTCGGGGCCACCATTCAACCCACTATACTGATCTTGTGGAGAAAAGAGAGTTGACTTGGTGGGAAATGAGTTATTAATAAACCTATTCCCTGAATATTAAGTAGGGTAAAAACTTCATGTAAACGATGAACTTGGGGCACCTGGGTGGCTCATTTGGTTAAGTGTCTGCCTTTGGCTCAGATCATGATCCCAGTCCTGGGATGGCATCTGGCTCCCTGCTGAGTGGGGAGCCTGCTTCTCCCTCTCCCTCTGCCTGCCACTCCCCTGCGCCCTTGTGCATTCTCTCTCTCTCTCTCTCTCTCTCTCTCTGTCAAATAAATAAATTAAAAAAAAATCTTTAAACTGTGACCTTATGTAGTTAAAAATATATGTATTTGTAAAAATATGTACTATGTATGTAAAATGTGTTATGTATCTAAAATATGTATTATGTATGTAAAATATGTATTTTGTAAAATAATATATATGTCCATATATAAATGGGATTCTTTTCTAGGTGGAGGCATTACACTCTGATTTTTACTTTCTTCTTCTTATCTTTGGTACTGTCAGATTATTTTTGAAATCCATTTTATAATTGGAAAAATCCTACAAAGTTCCTTTATAGTTTGAAGAAAAGCTTTTGTAGGAGTATGTGAAAAGATTTACAGTGCATGAGGAGTGGGTTTTTTCCTGTTCCTATTGATGGAAGTATCTGAGGAAAGGGCTTTAAACTGTGAAAGAAGCTTCATTTAGAATCTTGAACTTTAAAAGTAGCTGGAATTGGGGGCACCTGGGTGCCTCAGTTGGTTACGTGTCTGACTCTTGATTTCAGCTCAGGTTTATGATCTCAGGGTGGTGGGGTTGAGAGTCTGCTTGAGATTCTCTGCCTCTCCCTCTGTGCCGCCCCCCCCCACTTGCACGTGCTCTCTCTCTCTCTCTCTCAAATAAATAAATACCTTTTAAAAAGCTGGAATTGATTTAAAGATTTTATTTATTTATTTGAGAGAGAGAATGAGAGGCAGAGAGCACGAGAGGGGGGAGGGTCAGAGGGAGAAGCAGACTCCCTGCTCAGCAGGGAGCCTGACATGCGACTAGATCCCGGGACTCCAGCATCATGACCTGAGCCGAAGGCAGTTGCTTAACCAACTGAGTCACCCAGGTGCCCCTGGAATTGATTTAAAGTAAGTTGTGGAAATGGTAACTGTGAGGAAATGGACATGTTAATTATCTTGACTGTAGTGATCGTTTCACTGCATATATATATATCAAATCATCATACACCTTAAATATACACCTTAAATGTGTACATTTTTTATTTACTAATTTAGTTGTGGAGCCATATTATTTATATTACATAAAAATGTATGCTTTTCTTGTTTCCGAATATGAAGTATAAAGAAGTGTAAGTAATCTGCTTTCTAGTTGGAAGACCTGAGGAGGGACATGGTCAGGCATGGACAACTGAAGAAGGTTATACAATGCTAGGCTTGGCCAGTGTCTTGACCAGGTCATCAAACCAGTTGAGATGAGTAACCGATGAAACTATACTTTGTCTTTTCCTTGGCATTTTGAAGTACTCTTAAAGAAGTAGGGAAAAGGCTTAGGTCAAGACTAAATACCCTGCCTGTCACCAGACTCACAAATCTATACATATTTACCCTAAGTCCTAGAATTTAGCTAAGTGCCATTTAGTAAATTAATCATTGCTTTGAGGCACCAAATGGTATCCTACAGGCATGGGAGAGTTAATGTTCTTTCTAAATCTCCAGGAAATTCCCAAGGAGTATACCACTGGCAAAATCTGACAATTGTTGAATAACTATAGCCCCTCTTCTACAGCAGAGTTTAATATATTGTTCTTGGCAGCAACTGCTTCCTTTCCATCTAATCCATTTTTAAAATTACAGTCTATCCTCACCACAAAAGAGAAATAATGTGATTGAAAATTAAATTGTACTTGGGTACGTGTGTCTTAAAATCTGTGCTATGAAAAGCACTTTGAAAAAACAAATTCAGAATTAATGAAGTCACCTGATTGTGACTCCCTCTTATGCTGGGAACTCACTCCCCAACAGATGGTGCTAGCTCTCCTCTAGTTAGAGCTGCTCTGGTCTACCTTTTCTTAAAATGTACCATGGATAACCTTGAAGGTGAAGAGTGATGTGATGATTGGCGTAGAATGTATTGTAAACTTTCTTCTATTGCCCCAAACTTTGGCTTATAAAACATTATTCCACACAATCCAGTTGAAAAATCTATGATTGTATCCTCTTATGAAGTTGATTTCTTCCACGGCAGCTATAGGAAATAATTTAAAAGGTCATTTATTTGATAACAATGGATAGTATTTAACTTTTTCAGAAACATTGGCTTACAGAAGGCCCATCACTTTAGCTGCATATTCCCCAAAATGACACTTGGTCTTGAAAATGTTAGAGGTGTGTGCTTCTTCCTAATTAATTTGGCAAATGTTTAGTGATGATCTATTGTACGTTAACCATAGTACTAGGAACTGGGGATGAAAAAAGAAGTTACGCTTCATAATTCTGAAAGACTCAGCCCAGTGTTTCCCAGACTTAAGTCATTTTCATATATCCTACGAGATTTTTGCCATGATGTACTGCTTTACTGTAATAGGCTTATTATTTTTCTTTAAATTAGTTTACTTTTATTTTAAAAGAACATTCTATCACCAATATTAATTTTAGAAGTTTCACAGAGGGTAATCATTACAAAATATCATTTTAGAAAAAAAACATGTAAATTCTAGCCTATTACTTTTATCTACAAAGTTTCCAAGACTGAGGTCTGCTATCTCTTAAAAAGGGAAATTAATCACACAATAGAGAGATGCTAAAGCCACCCAA